GCTGGATAGGAATGTGAAACGCCTTCAGCTCTCTAGAGGTCTTTTTAACTCTGAAAATGAGTTACATAATAGAATGAAGTTGAGTGCCTGTGGCTTGTTTAGTAAATATAGTGATAAATATTGAGTCTCACAACACATGCTTACATGTTTTTCTATTTAAAAAATGCAGGACAAAGTGGATGAGGAAAAAGAGGAGGTACAGTGTCACTTATCAGTTTATTATCCCTCTGCTCCAAATTTACCCTTCTTTGCTTTGTGATATTGGCACTGGACCCTGTAAACTTTTCCCTTTTGCCCGCCGATCCGGCGTTAGGCTGCGTCAGTAGAGGGACTGGAGAGAGGACCGCGGGACGCGAGCGGCGGGAAGTACAGGTGGCCCTTCAGCTGTGCGGGTTTGCTTACACGCCGATGCTCTTCAGTAGTAAGCCGTCCTGCCCGGTCCGCGGACGCTGCGGAGAGCTGCCTGTCAGTTGTGTGTGGGTTTGCACTGTGCAGGGGGTCGGCGCCCCAACCCGCACTTGTTGTTCATGAGTCAGCTACACTTCCCTTCCCGGGCCTGATTCTCGGTTCTTCAGGCCAAGAGCTCAGGGGTCCTCACAGACCAGTTTAAGCAACACCCTGGAGCCTTTCTCTCCCCACCTGACAGCTGTTTCTTAAGGCGCTCCAGCTGTATCCTGGGCCGCCGCCTTCCCTCCGAGAGAGCTGTCTTGACAAACAGCAGGCGCCTTGGAAGTTTCCATGCCACCAGCAGCGGCATGTTTCTCACTACGGTGTAGCCACACCCTCTTCGAAGGGGTCTGAACCTCAGCCTTGGGGAGAGAAAACTCCCCCGAGCCCCCCACTCTGCCTCAGCCTAGATGTGTTATTAAAGCCCAGAGTGCAGAGCACATACCTGAAGCAGGGCCTCCCTCTGTCACTGGCGTTTGGAGCAGAGAGCAGCAGACTTTTTTGGTAAAGGATCAGATAGTAAATCATTCAGACTTTGTGGGCCACATATGATATCTGTTGCATACTCACTCTTCATTTAAAAACAAACAAAAAACCCTTCAAATTAAAAAAAAAGTTCATGGGCCATAGTTTGCTTACCCCTAATTTTTTAGTATGAATAAATTCTCACTTTTTAAACTAGAGAAGTTTAACCTGAACCAGACCTACAACAGTGGGAATTTTAGATTTAGCATGGACTTTTGCATAGCAAATCACCGCAAAACTAAGTGTCTAAAAACAGCAATAATGATTTGTTACTTTCACAGTTTGGTGTGGCAGGATCGGGGAGCAGCTTGGCTGGGTGGTTCTAGCTCAGTGTCTCCTGCTGGAGCTGCTGCTGGAGCTGCCGCCACGTGACTGGCTGTCAGCTGGTGGCCTCAGCTCCTAGTCACGTTGACCTCTCCACTGGGTTTCTTGAACATTTTCATAATGTGCTGCCCAGAAACAGTGGTCCAAGAGACCAAGCAGCAGCCACAGTGCCTTTCATGACATAGCCTCGGAATTCACACGTCATCACTTCTACGGTATTACATTGGCTGCACAGTTCAGCCCTAATTCAGTATAGGAGGGCATTACGGAAGGGTGTGAATACTGGGATGTGTGGATTATTGGGGACCATTTTGGAAGCCGGCTACCACAAGACTTTTACATGTACTTGTTTGGAAGTGTATGCAGTGATGCTTACTAAGTTAGTAGTGTTGACAAGAACAGAATCTTAGAAACCCAGCTCTTTATTTAGAAATTCGATTAATGAAATAATGTATAATTAACACACAATTACATATAAACAGCAGCTTCTAAAGTGCTCAATTTAGGTAAAATTATACACAGTATAATGCACAGCTCTCTACTATCCATTTAGTCAAGTTCCTCTTAACCACATTCTACTTCTTCCATCTGTAAAACATGCAGGCATGAGGAGTTCTTGAGGCTCTTCCCATCAGTTGAATTGTTGACTTACCAAGAATCAACTGTTCATTCCCAAGCATGTTTATATTGTATTTGTTATTGTAATTATGTACTTTATAAATGGTGTATAAACCAAAGAAATACGACTGTAAGTGTACCTTTATGAAAATAAATTGAAATACTCTGGACAATTTGATAAATATGAGTTATTCAAATTTATTGTTGAATTAGATGTGGACAAGCCAAAAGCCCAGAGACAAAAATCATGAAAATCTAGAAAAATTCTGAACTGAGATTGCTTCTCAGGAATCCTAAAGATCTCTCTTTAAAGAAATGGAACCTGGAGATGTCAGATGGTGCCTTATGGATAATGGTTTTTGTAGAATATCAATCAGTGGGTTCCCTCTCAAAGGAAAGACTTTAACTGTACAACAAAATATTGGCAAATGAATGAAAATTTATTTGTTTTGGATTGAAATTAAAGTGTTTAAGATATGTTTGCATTACTCAGCTCATTTCCTCTTATTACCAGCTAACTACTGGTCATAATTGCATTTGATAAGAGGAACCCCCACATCTTAAACTAGAAAGGCCTTTGGAAATGTGGTTTGGGGACTTATAGCTTGTGTTCCAGAGGAGCCTAGGGGTTTGGAAAATTTCTCTGGGATTCATCTTAGGGGGAGGTAAATTGGTGGGATGGGTAGGGAGAGTTACAGGGTGGTCCGCTCACTGGGGCTGTGGTCTTTCAGAGCAGTTTCTCATGTATCTATTTTATACATTCTTCCTGGGTAGGAGTACATTTGGACATTCAAGGGTTTCACGTTTAAAAAAATATTTGAAGCCACTTACCTTGTTCAACTTATTAATTATATCCCTGAACAGGTCCTGAAAGAAGCTGTGGGATTTGCCCTTGCGAACGTAGCTAAAGTGAGTCAGTGAGAGAAGCACCAGGATAAAAGCCCCAGTGAACTGATGCCCTGCGGTGCTTTGCTTCTTCATGGCGCTCTGTCTCCTCGATAGACACAGTAGTTTCTGAGAGCATTCTTTGTTTTGACATTCTTTCCTTTACAAGCCCTTTAACCTTATATTGCATTGAAATAAACTTTAACTGAATCTTGGCTAAATTTGAAGTGAAAGAACTCTAATGGGAATTTACATTACTGAAATAGTGAATTTCTGTTGT